CATGTCAGATTACTATCAACTGTATCATAAAGTAAAATAGTGCTTTCCTTTTGCATCTAAATATAATATTGGTTTTATTTTACTAGCTTTGCTACTATCACGAACATTGATTACATAATCAACGCTGAAGATCGAGAGCATATAATGACGCTCTTACAGCTGTCACTCTTTCTCCCCGACCTCCACCATCTCTCTAAGTCTAACCCTCTGCCCTGACACTATGTTGTTGCTTTTGTTCTCTCCAGCCCAGTCCTCTGCTTGCAAGCATCCTCCAGCAGGTACTCCGAGTGCAACAACACAGACAATAAACATTGCTGTAACTCGTCTCTCTGATCTACTGTTGCAGTGCCTGTACAGAGCCTCAGATTGTATGTTGTGCCACTGAGCTGACTACACTGTCCTTCAACGTAAAGCAGTAAGTAGCCAGTCCACTTCATAATAGCCTGTACAATAGTTGCTCCTCCCTTTCCTCCCAACCTTTTGTCTCCCTTCCATCCCTTCTGCTCCTCGTCCCACTGCTTGCGTTGCCTCCCCTTCATTGTCCTCCTTTTTTTACGTTCGTCTCCCTTTTTGAATTCACATTCGCACATCTGCATTGTTGACCAGTGCCGAACGACTTCTCCAATAACTCCATGCATTCGCGTACTTCTTACCGCTCCGCAGTGCAAGCAACACTCGACGAGCACACGCGAGCATACTCGCGACAATGTTCATGTACAACCACTCCTATGGTACCACCCTCTCCTCAACGCTGTACGTGTTCTACTCCTTCGTACAATCCTTGTTTGACATCACTCTTGACAGATTTGCCCCACGCACATTTACATTCCTCAGTGCCGTCCATGACACCATTTCGAATAAGGTAAGCAGTGGCCATCACTTATCCCTCCTGAGCCGAGTCCGTTCACATCACCCACATCACCCTCTCCCTTCGAGCCAGAACGTCCCAGAGATACACCTTTGCAATCACACACAACGCCTAAGTTCTCTGCACCTCCAATTGCGAGACGTAGTCAGAGCATGTGATGTGCACGTACGGACATAGCTTC